TTGATTAGTCCATCATTTCAACACATTATTTATCCTGAAATATCTTACAAGGAGCAATCTGTAGAAAGCATGAGCAAACTGTAGATGACTCTGAGCAGACTGGAGCTATATGTGAGCACGATGCACTGTCACACTGTACAGCTGGGGAACTTGGGGGAAGGCATGGGCTGATTAATCCACAGCATAGATGATCTCCTCACGGACACCTGAGTTGTCTCTGAATCCACTTGTGCACTACAACAGCCTTTTAAGAACTATTCATATACCCATCATCAGCTCCCTACTTGTGCAGTAAGAGGCTGAGTAGTTAAAAAAATAAATTTGAATTATTAAAACAATACAAAAGAAAGTTAGTGTTTTGGCTTTTTATTTCTAAAATGAACTCTCTTCTTTCCTGAAAGCACTTTGTAGCCTAGAAACTTTGATGGCATTACTTTCAAAATTCCATGGTGAAAGAACAGCTACATTGCTAAATCCAAATGAGGAAAAATTCAGTCTCCACCACAAACAACACCCTAACATTTTTTTTTATAATAAATCCAAATGAGGAAAAATTCAGTCTTCACAACAAACAACACCCTAACAATTTTTTTAATAGGGTGGAGTTATGTCTGTTGCTTTGTTTTGTTTTGTTGTACCAATCTACTGTCACAGCACTAACATTTGCCCTCGTGGTAGCCAAAATAGGTAGCAGTACTCCCATTTTTGCTGATAATTTTACACAGTAAATACCAAGATTTAAAGTGAATATATTTTTTTGCCAACCCTGCATTTTACTTTGGGAGTTATAACTTCCACCTAGCAATTCACTGCCTGAAAAAATAAAACAATCTGCTGCATTTGGCTGCAACTTTTGTGTAAGTGCAAGCAACAACTGCAGTATTTTTTTCAGATGAGCCACTGTGATTGCTTTGCACTTCCTTGAGGCCTCTTCTCTTCTCACTGAATGAACTCCAGGGAATGGCATCATGTCGGGCTTTCCAGATGGATTATGTGAAGCCATAGCTCAATGTCATTTTCAATAGCAAGGCTCATAATTAAAGGTCAAATAGTCACTTCATCTGCAATCAATCAATAGAAGAAGTACTAATACTAAGTACTAATCAATCAATGGCAAATGCACTAATAAAAGCCATGCATCAAACGTCGGCATATGTGTGTGCTCACATGTACTGTGCATATATGTGAGCAGGGGGAAGGAGAGAAAGAGAACAAAGTGTGGGTGAAAATGCCAGAGGGCATGGCGAATACTCTATTATCTTTGCTCCTTCAAAGTTTGTATCCTGCTTCACTCATTAGGTGAAATAAAAATAAACACGAGTTTTCCCACATAGGTGATGCTTTGCATTCAAAAACCCATCAAAGCACTCACCTCTGTGCAGGAACACTGACTTGTGCTCCTACCTAAGGAACACAAAGGCACCTACCCTGTGTAATTTGTCCTTACACAAACACACCCTGCACTCTGATCTTTGAGACAAAAAGTGTGTCAACTGTTCTGTCTACAAAATAAAACCCAGCATATGGGAACAGCACTCATCTCCGTGCAGAGCAAGCACTTATTCATGGATTCAGCAGTGGAAGTGGCAGTTGGCCTCATGAGCATGCACTGCATGGGAATTAGTTGGTTTCATAATATGGTGTGGGAGAAAGTGACTTACAAAAGTCTTCTCATGCCTCTCCTATTACCACTTCTAAAGCTTTAAAGCTGTCAGCTCTTCTCCCACTTTAGTCAGTGCCATTCTGAGCTCCCCAGGGAACGGGCCAGACGTACCTATTTGGAGTTTCACCTGCCAAGCTGAGAGAAATCAGTTTCAAAGCGAAAGAACAAGTGTTGCAGGGTCATTTATATACTACCACTGGAATCTTGAAGACAAACAAAGCAGAGCTCCACAACGGATGTGCAATGAGACCCTGGGCTGTGTTTGTGCTCTCAGGCATTGTAATGACAGAGGGAGAGGGAAAAGCTCTCTCTACTAGAGGAAGCAGAAGATGTCTCGTTGCGTGGTTTATAGTCAACACCTATGGACAAGTAGAAATGTGCCAGAACAACAACTGAGTAAGGGCCAAAATGCTTATGCCAGCCTGGTTTCTGCTAAGATCAGTGTGGAAAAGACTGTGCTGTGGAAAAACTGAAGTGCCATTCAGAAATGGCTAATCCTTAAAAGCAACTTAGACCTACTCTGCTTCCGCCTCCAGTGAAGGAAAAAATGTTAGCTGCTCTGGTTAACACTGCTGTTTACATGTCTAGCTCACGGGCACAGCTCATCACACTGCAGCTGTGTACAGCCCAATCCTCCTTATTTATATAGGATTAGACACAATGTTCCAAAAATGGGGGTTTATACAGCTCTATCTTATCTGGAACTGGTAGCAATATCCAACAGAGTTCAGTATCAATGGGGCCAAAACCAGCCAGCCTGAATCTGATACACAGCATGCACACCTATGTGGTATACACATGGTGTGTGGCTCCAGGGACTGCTAAGAGGAGCATTTCCCCATCCTTGTTCAGGGATGACTGCAAAGCAGTCTGTCCTGAAGCTGACAAACAGCACAGTCCACAGCACTGCATTCCACCATCTCCCTGTTTCACGTCAACTTGCACACTTACCTGTGAGAGATCTCTATTAGGGAATAAAAAGTAAGTATGTATGATGGGGAGAAGCTTCAGGAGTCCCTGAAGTCAAGGTGGGCAAAGGGTTTTTGTTGGGTATTTGGGCAAAGAAAGCTGCAAAATACAAGACCTGACTCATGAGTTTATGCTAATGAGAGCAATAACTCAGAACTGGGAAAATGTGAGCCAAAAAGCCAAGGGAGCTAGGAACTTCAAACTAATCCTTCTAAAGCAGAAATTAAATAAAAAATGGAGAGTGTAGTAGCAGAAGAAAAGTGAACTGACTCAGCTGTGTGCACAGAGCACAGGTCAAGACAGGCTGCATGAGGACAATTTGGCAGAGTGAGTAAAAGAAATGAACAGTCCTCATTTTCTTCTGGGTGATGGCAAGTCCCACCAGGGCTTAAATATTTAAAAAAGGCTTTGTGTTTGTTTTCTTAGTGTCATAGCAAGCTGCAGAAATATTCAACAGAGCATATATAAAACTATTTTCACTGGGGAGGGAAGGGGAGACTTACATATTAGTGCTGTTAAACACAACCAGCCTCTCCAGCTTTTCTTCTTAGTATCACAGTTGTGTCCTAGGTTTACACACACCTCCAAACAGCAAGCAAAGTGTGTCAGCACTTACATGTGCAGTTGCTTTCTACAAACACAAGTGTAACTGTGTTGAACACAAGCTCATTTACTAGTTGAAGCATCAGTTTTACAGGACACTTGGTTGAAAAAGACCTAATGTCATTTAATCTATGCTCTGCTCCAAGGCAGGATCGACTCTAGCTGTCTAATTCCCATCTGAGGCTTGTCTACAAAGATAGGGGGTTAAAGATATCAATAGGCAACATATTCCAAAGCTAAACTGTTTTACATTACACAGGTTTCCCTGATTGTTAACTTAGATCACCACCAATGTAACAAAGTCCTTCCCTTTACAAAGTCCATCGTGGCCGAGTCACTTTCTTCCTTCTTTGCATCAACCTTCTATGCATTTGGAGATCACCACTATATTTCAGCTATCTTGTCTCAACAATCCATTCCAATCCATCTTCCTCTGGGGTCACATTTTTGAGGTCTATGGCCATACATGGCACTCTAATCTCATCCCAGTTCGTCCATACAATTCTTCAATTGCCCAAAACATCACGCAAAAGTCAAAAGCCAAAACACTCTCAAGCCATACAACTTTTGCTGCTTCTCTGCAACCCACAGCACCTTGTGTGAACAGAGATTAGGTTAGTATAATGTGATGTGCACTTGGCAAAGCTATGGGACTGTTACTCATTTTTTTGTTGTTCCTACACTGTTAAAATAATTTATTTATTTGGTTCAGTATTTTTCTAGGAAATGAAGTTGAACTCACTGATCTATAATTCCTTGTCCCCTCCTCGTTTCCATTGTGAAAAAGGCATTATGTTTGACTTTTTCTTGTGTTCCAGGAACTCCTTCACTTCCCACAGACTTTCAAGGGCACTTGCTAAGAGGTTTGCAGCACAGGCCTGGCTGAAGCAAAGAGCCCTGAGGTGAATCTCACTATCAAACTGACTTGGAAAACATCTCACCTAAGTCCCAACTTGTTCTTCCCCTGTTTCAGCCTGAGTTCTTACCTTTGTTATTGACACTAGCTGAGTTTCTCTTTAACAGATCCAGTCTTGAAGAGGCATCTATTCAGTCATATATGCTTTGCCAGACATTTGTTTTCATATTTTGAAAACAGTCTAGTCCTTTCACTGGCTGAACATAATGGATAACCAGCAGGAAGTGACTCTAAGTGTATCTGGTTTAACAATAGTTTGTGAATATCCATCAGAACATCTTCTTATCCCTAAGGGGTCATAAGTGACAAATAGCTCAGTGATGTTGAGAATGTCGAAGAAAAAAAACTATTCAAAATATCTGCAGACTTAAGCACATACATTTTGCTCATGTTAAGCAAGAGAGTACTGTCTATTTGTGGTTTCTGAACACACTACATCCTTTGATTTTCCCCTGTACAACTCAGCTTTTAGGTGTAAGATTTTACTGTGAAACTGGGCAGGTACACCTTTCAATCCTTTCAGTAACAAACCTGCAATTTTATCCCTATTGGATTAGGTACCAGAACAGAACAAGAACTGAAAGAAAAATCCAGCTTTCCACAAATAAGGTAGTCTTACTCCATAGCCACTAAAATCTCAGCTGAGAAGACTATGTTCTCTGCCCTGTAATAAGCATTTATTTCATCTATGCAAGAATATTATCCTGCTATTAGTATTATACTGGTAGCATTACTTGTCACACTGAAACCAAAACCATTTAAGCAGAAAAACCAGCAAGCAAAATAATTTTTTCCCAACACAGCAAGAATGTTACTATTATTTGCTCACAAGCTCATCTCCTGACTTACCCAGAGTGAGGGATTTGTGTGTGGAACAGAAAATGATGGCCACTGTGTCTGCTGGTGTGAAAGTAGAGTTGTTCCTAGAAAATAAGAGTTTTAATAACCTCTGATAGCAAAAACCTTCTTAAAACAGCATCAATCAAATATATTACTTTGAGGATCTATATACATGTTCACATCACTTTGATCAGGTCTAGTGACAGAAATAATTCTACCCATAAATGAACAGTAGTGTTTGATTTTTTTTTAAAGCAGAATTGTTTTTCAGTTGTGGGAAATTCTCTGATGTTCATGCTCCCATGTGAAGGAGAGGATTTGAACACATGGTATGTAGGACACAACTTTACTCCAGCCCAGTTTATATTTGCAAACATGCTATACCACAGCAGTGACCAGATTTGCCTCTGTAAAAAAAGAGAATGACCCAGGATTTCTTTGCCTAGTCTGTAATGTTAACAAAATGGTCAGTTTAGAGAGTATGTTGAGTCTCTGCTATGAGCACTGTTTAGAAAAAGTAATTAGCTTTCACTTCAGAGAAAAACTGCATCTAAGGGTTTACACACTGGGACTAAGGCCAGGAAGGATGGGAGAAAGACATATAAAGAGAGATATATGACTGGCCAATGGATCATCCTTTGCTCCAAATCAGGAATAAATTTATGAGATTCTAACTACCATATAAAATTGGCTACTACTTATGTCATTTTAGATTTCCCAGTTTGGTCATATCTCCCCCCAGTGTTAGGTGTAGCAGTTCAAAAGTTACTTTAAAATGCCTTTTAAGGAGAGGATATGAACTTGTCACCGAGAAATTTTCTCGTGGCATGAAGAAAGTCTAAGTAGCTCTGAGACACTGAACCCTTTGTGATCTCTCCTGCTATTGTATAACTTATCTAAAACATATGTCTGGAGTCTGCTGGGTTGTGGCACTTTCCATTCTGCAGAGTGCTGAAAAGACAAATACTCAATCAGCCTAAGTGAGAGGACAATGGTTGATACTTCAACCAGCTCAAGTGATGCCCTAAGCCACTGGCTAAGGCCATTCTCACAGTACTATTTTTGGACAACTGAATATACAACTGTCCTTTCTGGTTGATATTTAAAAAGGGAAAAAAAAGTAGCCCTACCAAACATTAGTTCAGGACAACTGTCTTTTAAGAATCACCATATAAATGTAAAAAAATTGACATATACAGAGAAGAGTGAATTGCCAGGCAGCAAATGTATCTTGAGATGTAAAAAGTCAAACTGAGTTCTCTCTCTCATATGTCATCAGCATGTCTGCAGGGCAAATTATACCTTCAGTGACATCTGTGCAAATCCATTTTTTTCAGTGGATGAGGTATAGCAGTGATTGATTGAGATTTAACAACTCTGTAATTAACACACAAGAAAGGACAGAATCCAGGTCCTGCTCCCTTAGCCTGCGAAACTCTAACAGAGAAAATGCAGTAAGGACAATATGAAATACCAAAATGAGGTCACCCCTACAGAGAAAACTGCCCTTACACCTTTGTATGAACTGTATCACCCAAAACAAAGATACCATACAAAAGAAATGTTCAAAGGCACGCTCAGGTATTTACCTTGTAGAGAAGAGGAAAGTCAAAAACATGAAGCTCATCTGAATAGAAAATACTGAAAGAGAAACAAGTTAAAATTAGACCCCAATTACAATTGCTGTGCACATGCCTTTTGTCCCCAAACTACAGGGCAGAAGTCAGGCTGGACCAAGTCTACCCAGCAAAACCCAGTGACAGACAATCTTTAAAGACTGCCTGGAAGAACAATACATATCATTACATCCAGGAAAGCTAATATTGTGGCTACACAAGTTCTTCCTGGGCTAACTCTTCTGCATCAAGTGTTTCTTGACATGATGAGTAGCATTAGGGGTCACTAGTGCATGCTGCACATCTCTGTGCACTAGTTTTGCTTATTGGCTTGACAACACAGAATCTGCCAGACATGCTCTGGTTACTGGGCATTTAGACTTTCTATTTTACAGGAGGAAGTGCATTATGTTAAGCATGACCAAAATAAATATTCCCCATCCTGGGTATATTAATCATGATCATTCATAGGGAGAGTAACAGAAGATCACTGTAGACATTTTAGTTCTCTCTGAGACAAAGGCTAATTGCTGAACTGGGCAGTACAATCAGACAAAGCAGCTTTCCTTCAGGCTCAGTCAGCTTGCTAAGAGCCCATGGTTTTGAGCATCCTGAGGAGAGCTCTCCTTTCTCTCAGCTCTCCCAACACCTGCAGGGGCTTTGAGATGCACAGAGCCCCCCTGGGACTGCAGAGATGTGGGGAGAGACCAGCAGCTTCCCCACTGTGCCACGAGTAGCTGCTGAGACTGCAGAGCGCATGGCAGAGAGCAGGAACTCCCCACAGAGCTGGAGGAGCAACCCTGTGACCTGCACAGACACTTTTCTGGCTTTTCCTTGCAGCAGAATCTGGGGTGGGTCCTCTACCTTCTCCTTGGAAAATTTGTGAATGCAATAAGGCTAATGTGTCCCACAGGGTAGTGCAAGTCAAGACAATACGTTTGATTTTGACCCCAGTTTATGACTGGGAAACGTGGCAGGGAGATTAGCTATTACCAGTGACATTTTCTATTCTCTTACACACATTTCCTAGAATGTATAAATGTCACCACAGCATGCACTTAATTCTCCCTTCACGAGCTAAGGAAGCAATCCATTGTTCCTGAATTACAATTTTTTCTGCAACTAAGGACATTAATTCAAGATGCACAGCAAAACCCTCATCCTTTAATCCACATAATTCTGCAAAGCAATAAACATGTGTTGCCACCAATTATTCCTTGTGCATATTTTGCTGTGGCTAGATTATTAACATAAAAATTACATCGAAACATTAATCAGCAGACTAACAAATGCAGCTTCATCTCCAACTCTTGTGCTGATTTCACTTCCTGGTGTCACACAACACACACTTTCAGCCAATGCATCCAGTGGTGATACAGAAGCTTTTTCTAGAACACAGTGTGCAGATCCATTTCCAAAACTTCCTCACTTTTGATTTCATAAATATTTCAGAGACAAACCCTCACCCAATTGTCTAATATGCTCCAAGTTGCTTATGTTCATATTCTTCCCAGGAAATTCCAATTATGCATACTGGCAATGAAAATGTATATATGATATTCAGTGTATTGCACAGCAAATGGTACATACAATTACACATGGCAAAGTGCAGAGATGTCTTGAAGAGAAATAAAGGCCAAGAAAGGCAATGGAAACAACCACTCTACACCAACTGTTCAAGGAAGAACATGTCTTTTCAACTAAAAAAGAACTTTGTTTTCAAAGTAGTGTTCAGCACAGAAACATAAAATTACTTCACTCTGAGTTTCTCTGCATAAATTAGAGTTGAAAATATCCATCTCATTCTGACAACTCTGTACTGGTTTAAGTGCATCTCGGATGTTTTCTTTCTCAGGTGCTTATGCAAAGAAGTATTTAATCCTTTTTGAAAAGAACGTCTATAGCATGACTTCCTACTTCTTTGCTTTCAGAAAAAAATTATTTATATGGTACCATTTACCATTCCATGGATTATTTTACACACGTATAATGTGTACAAATTGATGTGTGTGTCCACACATATAATGTACACACATCACTCAAAAAACAGTATGTGTGTACAGACATGTTGGGTACAAATTGAAAGGGAAATTTAGGTTAGATATTAGGAAGAAGCTTTTCCCTGTGAGGGTGGTGAGACACTGGCCCAGGTTGCCCAGGGAGGCTGTGGCTGCCCCAACCCTGGCAGTGTTCACAGCCAGGTTGGATGAGCCTTGAGCAACCTGCTCTGGTGGGAGGTGTCCCTGCCCAGGGCTGAGGGTTGGGACTAGATGACCTTTGAGGTCCATCCCTAAAATTCTATGATAGTGTTTCATAATCCAAAAAACTGCCACGATTAGGATAGAATTAAGAGCTGATGCAAAAAGGGTAAATTTCCTACTAACTTTAGTGGAGGTTGGACTTGTAGAAGACACATTATTTTTATGAGAAAGAAGCATGTGCAAATACAAACACTTCAAAGTAGGTGATACGTTGATTTCTTGAAATCTAACAATTTTAGAGTATGAGATGTGATTTATACTGAAGCATACCGTAGTTAACTCTCCTCCATGCAAATTGAAACTCTTGTCTCCAGACAGTGTGAAGCAAGATGGGAATTCCCTAATGGGAGAGGAGACAGTGCCTGTACACCACTGCCTTTCCCTGGGAGGTAGTGATCTGCAAGTGTATTTTTAACTGATGGCAAGGATACCAGCAGTCTATTCTCATGTGTATGTTACTTCAGGCTGAATGACTAGAGTGCTTCTAAAACAAACTCTGTAAGAAATGTCTTCATCCACAGAAACACATCAACACATTCCAACTCCCAACTAGTTTCTAGGTTTATAATAAGCTGAGGAAGAGCAGTTTCCAAGTTGTACCAGTGCTTCTGAGAAACAGCTCAAACCCCAATCTTTCCTCTCTGTTTGGAATGCAACATCTGTGCATTTATGGCTGTTTAATAACAAAGAAGCCAAAACAGAATGCCAATAAAGGCTTGTAAAATAATTCCGTGCCCCTTTAGACAGGGAGGATCACTGAGCAGTCTCAGGCACACCTAAATAGCAAGGTTCATCCCTCTCTAAATGCTTACTCAAACCCCTAAAATTATCCAGCCCCTAAGTCTGCTGCTCTGGTTTACTAGATGCATTAAAAGCACAAGCTCTAGCCCCATGCCAGTATCCCCACAGCTCCACCAGTGCATATAGCTCACTACACACCTGAAACACAGAGAAAAAATGATGCTTTGAGGCTGAACTTACTTATGAACACTATTATAACCAAGCTAAATTTATCAAGGTCGATATTTGGATTGGAGAAAGTATCGCAGAAGGTGGTGTAGATGATCATCAGGAGCACACAGCTGCTGATAGCACCAAATGGAGGCTTCTTCCTTTCAAGCCAGTCCTTGATGTATCTTCGGACAATCTGAAACACAGAAACCAACAGGTTGCCTCTTTTCAAAGATGCAGGGAGCCAAGTTGGGCATCACAAAGTGAATCTGACAGCGGAAAGACACAAAGAGAAGAGAGTAATTTGGATGACGGCCACAGTGGATTTCAAAGCTTCCCTGCCACACAACTCTTCTTCTGGGGAATTTAACATTTGTAGTGCAACTTCCACTGGGCATCCATAATGAGAGTATATTTTCAAGTACATTCAAATCCATCCTTAATCATGCCAAATGTTCTTTGCTAGCTGTCACTGAGACATGCCCATTAAGCCTCCCCAAAGTTTATCTCCTCTGCTGATACTAATGGATGTATGTAATTATCACAGTCCCCTTTGCATCAACAGACAATTCCAAGTGCAACTTTGGGAATCTTAAAAATCTGACATCTTCAGGAATTTCATGATGGTAGATAATCGAAAGTGATCCATGGAACATTTTAATATTTAAATAGCTAGCGATGCACCAGAAGTTTTTAATTAAATTATAACTCAAGCTTGAAAAGCAAAAGTGCATGTGTTGTGGGAGTTTAAATAATTCAGACTCTGAATATCTAGAGTTTTTGTAAATCCAAAGACAAATGCCATTTGCACGCTTTTAGAATACCAGAATTAACACATGAAAACAAGGAAACCTACTGTACTTAGCAGAACTTTTGCACTTTCAGGAAACAGAATACGAAGCTGTTTTTCAAGAATTTTTTAGAAACAACCATACATTTTAAAGTCACTTCAACTTTCAAATTATGCTGAACACCACAGCACTGAGCCTCGGCAGATACAATGCATCTATTTCAGTCCTGCCTGGGGAGTCGCTTTTAGTTTTTCTGTTTACTTTATAGGGTTGGAAAAAAAACTTTTTAAAGCTTTTATCATACAGCTGCAACTTGTGTTAATTTTTCAGCAATCACATTATCTTGCCTAATTTCTCCTGAGACCTCCTGATGCTCTCTGTTACCCTGCTCTTCCAGAAATAACAGCACTTCTAACCAGAGAGCTCCAAAGGTGTCTCCTCACCTTCCCTTAGCAGGACCATCAATAAACATCAGTACTATTGGTTTAATAACACAGAATGTCTTCGAAGTATTCAAGATTAATACCAAAGCAGCATCACCAATGCTACCACAGGACTCTCTTTCATACACTAACTGCCAAAGCTGTGGGACTGACCTCATGGCTGTTAGTTTTCCTCACTGCCTTCCCAGCCTGTTTGCAATAGGAAAGGCCTGGAAGGAGCAATCCCACAGTCACCACAGCAAACACACTTGATTGACCACAGGGCACATACTAAAAATTGGACAAAAGGGGTTAATGCAAAGCTAAGACCAGCACTTACCTCCCAGCACTTCTAGGCTTCCTGCTGGGGAAAACTAACAGATTTGCAGGAAGCCACTAAGGGAATGCTCAACACCCCAGTGAAAACACTGAACTTTAAAATTTCACACTTGCCAGATGTTAAAGAGAGAACATAACTCAAAATGTAAGGAAAGAGCATTGGATGGAGCCACCTCCTTCTAAGCCAGAGGGTAGGAATAAGACACTGCACTGATGGAAGAAAGGCAAGAAAACTGAGTGAAGATATGTGGTGAGCAGTGTGAAAGAGATCAAATGCGAAGTCCAGACTAATCTAATCTGAGCAGATTTGGGACTCTGTAACTATCAGAAGCAAAGAGCAAAAAGTCATTCATTTCTAAAGTGAGTGGGTTTTTTTAAAGATGTTTTAAAAATATCCTATTATCCCTTAAATTGTCAGGTTGGGAAAAAAGAAAAGCTACTTAAGAGCAACTATTAATTTATGGTCCTTCCAGAAGATTTATACTGAAAGTAATGAGATGTTGAAAGAGAAAAGTGATGGTTCATTATGTCATGGTACAACTTACACTAGAGGCATTTGTTGTGAAAACTGTAACTTTGTGCCTATACAAGGTCTAATTATAACAGACAGGACAATAACAACACTATACACATTTATCATGGGATGATATATAAGAGAAAAAAAAACATTTAAAAAATGAAACTGAAAGTATTTCCTCGAGATCTTCAATTGAGTGATCTCTTTTATAAATATCCACCTCTATCTAGTCTGCAATTGTGAATCAACAACCATAAAAAATGGTTCAGATTCTTAACTGCACACTGTGTTTTTAAACAAATTACACAGACAGACCCTGAGCTAAATTGTGGCTTCAGGAAATCATCTAATCAACCCAGTGTCATGCTCAATGTCTACATGCCACAGACAAAATACATCCTCTCTAACACAGAACCCCATACATTCTGATCTTCTCACAAGGTTCAGCATGATCTGTAATTTCAGAGGTCAATGCAGCCAATTAGCACTGATTCAAGGTAACCTAACTTCTTGTATAACTTGAGGAGAGAAATATAACCCTACAGGTTAAAAACTCCACTAGATTTTTCACAGGGAAGCTCATGTCAGCTGATTCATTTTGACTGCAAAACAATCCATTTGTTATTCATGCCTGGTAGAGTTGCTTCAGGACAAGGATGCTTTGAAAGCCTTTTAATTCTTAACCCAATTCTATGACTTTTCAGGGTAAACATGGAACTAAAAAAAAAAGTTGTGAATATTTGTAATGAAATAATAAATCCCCAAAATACAATAAAACAACACATGTTTGGAGCCTGAGCTGAGATATTAAAGCTTCATTTGTCTGCCAACACAGCAAAAGCTAACACAATCATTCTGGGATGTTAGGGCCTGTACAAAGGATGCCAGACTCAGAGACTGTTCCAGTGTGCCACCTCTCAGCTGAAATTATGGGCCCAGTAGTTTGAGATACACACCAGTAAAACAGGGCACAAGGGAAGGAAAAGCACCAGAGAAACAGGGTTGAGAAAATGTCTCAATTGATGCTCCTGTGGAAAGATCAACCTACAGCCTGAAGTAGAAATATGGATGACTGACATCCAAAATAGACACATCACATCGATGAAAAAGTCCAGAAAGGGGATGTATTTGGCTTGTGTGAGTTCTGTGAGAAGCTGATAGAAGCTTCTCTTATGCCTGATGGAGCCAATGTCAGGTGGCTCCAAGACAGACTCATTGCTGAGCCCACCAGCAACAGTGGCAATGCCTCTGGGACAGCACGTTTAAGCTCTTTATTCAGAGGGTGGGGAGACACTGGAACAGGCTACCCAGAGAATTTGTGGATGCCCCACCACTGGAAGTCTTCAAGCCCAACTGGAACTGGCCCTGAGCAACCTGATCTAGTGGGTGTCATCCCTGCCCGGGGCAGGGGGGTTGGACTAGATGATCTTTAAGGTCCCTTCCAATCCAAACCATTCTATCATTCTATGAATAATCAATATGTGAAACACAAAAGCATTTAAAAACATACTGCAGGGGGGAAATGCTGCAGGCTGCTATCATGTTGCAGATAATATGTGCACAATTCTTAAGGTACAAATCTCAAGCTACAAAGTCCTTGCAACTTTTATCCCTGCTGAGACTCCTGCAGAATTATTTCCTTGAGGAGAGCTTTGGACTATGTGAACTATGGTAGTGATCATATTAAGTATGAGGAACTGTAAAGATTTTACTGCAGATAGGACAGATATTAGGAAAAAGGTTTTTCCTGTGAGGGTGGTGAGACACTGGTCCAGGTTGCCCAGGGAGGCTGTGGCTGCCCCAACCCTGGCAGTGTTCACAGCCACGTTGGCTGAGCCTTGAGCAACCTGCTCTGGTGGGAGGTGTCCCTGCCCAGGGCAGGGGGTTGGGACTGTATGGTCTGTAAGGTCCATTCCAACCTCTAAAATTCTATGATTCTATGATGCAAATGCCAGCCCCAAAGAGCAGGGAATGGCTGACCCAGAGGTTGCACATGAAAGAACAGTGCACGATGAATCCTTCCCTCAAACTGCTGTTCAGTGGAGAGAAGTGATGGAGAGAAGAGCAGAAGAGATGCAAAACTTTGTAGTAGGTGATCTTTTATCAATAACCTGCATGATGAAAGATGCTGATAAACTCACAGAAAATTAGACAGTAAAAGAACATCAACGTGTCCATCAGGCAAGCACCTCCTGGTGACTTATGTTCTGGCAATCTCCAAAGGTTTTGGAAAAGCATCAGCTCAAATTTGCTTCAAAACACAGTTTCAGGCTCAAACTTCCCTCTTGCCTAGGATTTAATTTTTAACAACAAAGAAATGTAATTACACATGAATTAACAGTAGTGTCCCCATTTCAATTTAGTTCTTCTACCAGACTAGTTACATCTGCAGTATTTTTCCTCCAGACTGCTCTGTATCCTGCCATAACCTCCTTGTCTAAACACCAGCCTCCCTAAGCAAATGGGCTTACTGCTCAAATGCTTAATTCACTTCACATCCCTGTAGAAAGAAACATGATCTGTTGTTCCAGGAAAGCAGGTAAATAATGCTCATCTGTTCTAAGATCATACAAGATAACAGAAGTTATAGGAAAAAAATTCACTCATCTAATTGTACCTTTGTAACAGTCACACTGTATACCCAGACAAGTTTGCCAGTAAAATACAGCTAGACTGTTTCCACCTGTCTGCTCAAGTGCTGGACATACAAGCTAAAAAATGTAATAAACAATGTCATTCATTAATATTCATTATTAATTTAACTAAATAGGGCAAGGAGCTCCCCATGTCCCTCCAGGAATGGAATAGTTTCTGACGTTTGTTATACAGTACATCTTTTAAAAATTATCTAGATCTTCATTGTTTTTTTAAACCTATGAAATGAAAACAAAACCCAAAAAAACTCTCCAAAAACAGAGAAAATGGGTTAGGAAGTCACTTTTTCTGTTTCCATTACACACACACACGCGAGTGTCTCTTGGTATTTACATCATTACATAAAATCGATTTTTCCCAATTCTATCAACATTTTTGGACTAATTTAATCTTTAACTGACTGTACAGTGTTTTTACTGCACTTCTGCTCCTTTAGTTCATCATGTGTTGGTATGTACATCTAAATATCTGG